GGGGGGGAAGAGCAAAAGCCCTAATTGAGATGTTTGTACCAGAGCAAACACAAAGACTCCGGTACAATCCACAGCAAGCAGTCATTACATCATACAGCATCCACCTTGCACAAGATACCTATGTTAATAAATAAATACATAATGCACATTGTTACTGGATGCGGAAATGTAGTAATACATAGCCTACAGAAATGTTAGTTTTGGCACTTCAGAAGAGGTGAGCAGGTTCAGCACGCTTGTCCCTGTGGTCACGGTTACATGGACACTTCAGCCTCCCATGTAGCAAGGCTACTGCCACAGGTTAGCAGCTCCGCAGCTCCTTGCGCTTGCCATTCCTAGCGCGCAAGGCTACCATACAGCGGCATCGACACTAAACCAGCTAAACCTCAGGAGGTAGTTTCACACTCGGTCAAAGGTGATCCAAATCCAAGCAGCTACTCTCTTAGTTACCAGCCACCGTTCCCAGATATGCTCCTCTTCTTCTCTTGCGTCAGCAATAATCATCACACTTGTTGAGACTACTGGAAAGCAGCACTGCACTGCTTCGACTGAGAGCAAAGGTAGGTCCAACTCGTATCACAGCCACATGACCAGTAATGCCAATATGTGGGAGGGAACAGGAGTGTTTGCCACAGGAAGAAGACAGGACTGCCCATTTTGGAAGTGTCACGGTCTTAAAATGACTTAAATGAGACATGCTATACCACACTCTACTCTGGGGCAAAAAACCCCATGCTCCAGCACACACCACACCCACAACACACACCGTAATAACCAAGCTGAACAACTGATAAACAACCACCGCAACATGCATACTTAGGCTTCAGACAGTTCAGATTCTTGATCTGGGTCTCCAAGAAGAGACACGAATGCTATCGTCAACAAAAGAAAAGAAAGAACCAGAGAGAAGGGAATGAAAAACGACCACTTTCAGAGGAACAGATTTATGCCAGATTAAAAGAGACTGTACAGCAAAGCCTCAGGGTGCAAGTCTTCAAAACAGGTGAGCTTTACAAACATTTAAGTTAACAATACCGGGTAGGTTAGGGACTATGAGCATTTTTATATGTACAAAATACGTCCCTATTTAATTATTGTAATACGTTTGTTAAGTGTCATCAGGCAGCTCTATATTACATAATACCCAAAGACACACCAAGAACTCAAAAAAAGCTGTTTCTCATGCTGTACAAAGGAAACCAAGATCAAATTATAGATATGTTAATTTCAAGAAAATTATTCAAATATAAGCTTAAACACACTATAATCCACAAATTAAACTGCACATTTATTTAAATGAGAATTATTTTCCTAAGCTCACATGTGCTAACAACTTCTGCAGAGCGCCTAGCACAGCGTAAATGTACATGCCTCAGTATAGTAGGCCGTCAGCAAGCCCAGATGCTGCACTGAAGGGATACCAGTTCTTCCCAAACTGTATACATAAACAACACAGTTAAAGTATATTATTAAGCTTTTAATACAGAACCTTTCCAGTATTTGCATTTCTTTCCCATGTCTGTCTTTCCCAGCAGAAAAGCCCTACAAATAAATGGGGCAGACTGCATAAGAAGAACACAAGAGAAAGGAAACAAAACAAGATGTAATCAAGCACGAGAGGATAAACTGATGATAGCAACAACTTTTACTTAAGAAGGCCGGTCAGATACACAGGCACAGGCGAGTTGTGAGACCTAAGCTGTTGATGTTTCCCACTCTCCTTCCTCCCTGTCTTTACAGGTCAACAAGACCGGGCTTCACTGCAGTGTTAATGAGTTCTCCGCACCTGAGCTACTTCTTTCAAACTGACCTAGTGTGAATGGCAGCACACAGTGTGCCAATATTGCTTTATCAACATTGGCACTGAATTTCTATATAGCACCTGACATGACTGCAAGGAGAGACAAACATGCTTGACCAACCACAGGTACCACCCCCACCTTACTAAGTCTAACACAGTAACGGAGAGTTCAGAAC